TCGGCTCCCGGACCAGCAGGGGCAGGGCGAGCTGCCACCCGGGGGTGCTGTGGCGATCTGCTCACAGGGGTGCCACACTGGGGCGGTGCAGTGATACGCCTAGGGGGGCGGCGCAGCGAGCTGCCCGCGGAGTCTGCCTGGCAGACACAAGCCCCACACTGCCATTTCGGGCAGGACAGGGCTATGAGCATAGCTGTCAACTTTCAGATTTGAAAATAAGGGATCAGCAGCCTCGAAAATAAGAGACCAGCAGCCTCACCTGTCCTGTGGACAGTCTACGGGATATCTAGCAATCCGGGATAGCAGCAGGAAATGGCACTGGAATAAGGGAATTTCCCGCAAAAAAAAGGGAAGGTTGACAGCTATGACCCCGAGCCACTGTGTCACTCCCAGGAGAGACGTCTGGCTCGGACGCGTTGCAGGCCAGGCCTTATGGTCAGTGCCAACCCCCACAGTGCGCCATTTTGTCACCCCCCTCAAGGATGACACCTGGGGCAGACCACACACCCCTGATTCTGGGGCCTTTTCCATGGCAATCTGTGTGTGCAGCACTATTTCTAAATGGCTTTACGTCCAAGAAAGGGCTTCTTCTTCATGAAATCTCTTGGGTTCAGCCAAAAGCTGTCTATCAGGTATGGAGAACTTGTAGGTCTCCCCAGTGTCCAATTGTGAGTCCATTTTGGAAGCATTGGTACGGGGCCAAGTCAAGTATCGTATTTGAGAGCCAGTGTGGTGTAGTGGTTAAGAGCAGTAGTCTCGTAATCTGGTGAACCGGGTTCGCTTCCCCGCTCCTCCACCTGCAGCTGCTGGGTGACCTTGGGCCAGTCACACTTCTCTGAAGTCTCTCGGCCCCACTCACCTCACAGAGTGTTTGTTGTGGGGGAGGAAGGGAAAGGAGAATGTTAGCCGCTTTGAGACTCCTTAAAGGGAGTGAAAGGCGGGATATCAAATCCAAACTCTTCTTCTTCTTCTTCTTGAGCAGATGGAGGCACCTTGTATTTAAGTCGTTTCCAGCCAGAGCTGTTCATAGCATGTTCATCCTCCTTTGTTTGCACAAAGCTTGTGGGGAGGTGAGACAATGTCCGCTACTCATTGAGCATTCTTTCTGATTTGTTTGCAGGGAGGTAATAATAATAACAACAAAATTATTACTTGTGCCCTGCCCATCATACTTTGTTGCCCCAGCCACTCTGGGCAGCTTCCAACAAAATATAACAGAACACAACAAAATATCAGACATTGAAAACTTCCTGATACTGTACAGAGCTGCCTTCAGATGTCTGTGGAAAGTCATATCTGATGTTCCACAGAGTGGGTGCCACTACCAAGAAGGCCCTCTGCCTGGTTCCCTGTAATTTCACTTCTCGCAAGAAGGCCCTCAGAACTGGACCTCAGCGTCTGGGCTGAATGATGTTGCCTCAGACATTGGCTTTTACTCTTAAAAGAGCAGGTGGAGAGCACTGAGTTCAGGACATAAACCGCTATATCTGCTCTTTTGAGATCCGGAAGAGCACTTCCGCAGGGTAACAGCACAAGCGTGGGCCTTTTTGGTGGTGGCTCCCTGCTTGTGGAATGCTCTCCCCAGGGAGCCTCACCTGGTACCATCATTATATATCTTTAGGCGCCAGGCAAAAGCTCTCCTCCATAACCAGCCTTTAATTATCTGTGGTCTTTCAGAAGTGGATGAGAATGTTTTTAATGAATGTGAGTGGCAAGGTTGCTTTGGGGCGGTTTCTTGGTTGGTTGTTAGTTTTTGGCAAGATAAAGCGAGCAACAAATTTACTAACAAATAATAAGTAATAACTCCACGGGCCCCACAGGCCACCAAATTAAGGCCTACAAAATGGCACTGGCATTCGACAGAGAGGCTCAAATAGCTAAATTATGCATGTTCTCCTTTCCGTTTCTTTCCCCGTGTGCCCTGAAACTAAAGTCCTCGCAAAAACAACAGCCACCCAAAGCCCCAACAATTATTTCTGCTTTTTTTCATTTTCGGAATGGGCAGCCTGAGTTTCTTGTCCCTGCACATGGCAACATGAGACGATGGTTGGCACTCTGAGGTACGCCCATGGGCAGGACATTTTTAATCCCCTTTGATGGATCGGGCCACAGGAGGTGAGCCTTTGCTGTCAAGAAGCAGTCACTCCCAGAACCTGTATGTGGCAGGCCATTAGACTGCCTGAATTAAAACTTTAGCAACCCTGACCAGCTAGCTGTCAGAGATAGCAATCGCAATGCCAGTGCTTCTTAGCACTGGGGTTGTCAGAACCTCCAGGTCTGACCTGGTGTCTTCATGTTTGTCTGTTCCTCTCCAGGTAGTCTGGGAGGGCCTGAATTTCCAGGGGGGTGAGCGTATATATATAATAATATATATATTTATTAAGAAAACTATGTGTGCAGCTTGCAAGCTTCAACTTAGCAGAAACTGGCTGCCATTATTGACCAGACTCTGGGTGGATCTGCACCCCCATTAACCTCCATCTCCAGGTCTCAGTGCTGTGAGGGAGCACAGAGGAGGAATCCAAATGACTACCCTATGTCATCACCAGGGCCTGTTCCCCAGGACATCATCAGGACCCGCCCCCAGGTCTCACATTTGTACCCTGAAATCTCAAGGTCTGGGATGCTCCTTGTTAAGTTGTGGGTGAACATATCAGACGACACAGCGATTCTTCAAACAGCTCTTGTTTATTCACAGGCCCAGAACAGAACTGAACTGAAGGGTTCAGCTAGCCTGCTTATATAGAGCTCCACTACAACGCAACAGTAACAACTTTCTGTAACTATCCAATCACTGAACGTCACTTTCAATTCCTTATTTGCATATGTGGACCTGAGTGAAAACTATCTACAGTACCCCCCTGCTAGCCCAGGGTGAGAACTTCAGTACAGAACACTTCTGGTCTGGCAACCCCATTTAGCATAAGGTTACCAGATTTTTTCGAATGAATCCGGGGGGTACTTTTCAACTTCAATGGATTTTGTATGGGGACTGATTTGCAAATCCGGGGACTCTCCCTGAGAAAAGGGGACGTCTAGTAACTTTAATTTAACACCCTTTGCAAGCATCGCTGGTGCCATTTTGATTTCTCCTGCTCTGGTGTCCTGAGGCACAGTTTGTGCTAACGGAATAGGGGCAGGGCCATAGCTAGGGGGTGGCAAGGTGTGCCCCTTGCCAGGGTGCGGGGGGGAGGTGCAAAATCGGCTAAAAAGATATGTCCATAAATATATCAATAAATCAAAATATTGATTATGGCTGAGGACCATCCAATGGAGCAAGGGCGATCCTGTCCTGCGGGCGTAGGGAGGGCTTGCTCCCAGCCCACAACATCATCTCCCCAGGAACGGGAAATGGCTTTATTTAAATATTTGTCTTCATTGGCATTGCAAGGAGTTTGAGCAGGGGTCAGCAAACTTACTGCACCTTGGGCCAGTGTCTCCAGCGCCGATCGCGGGGCGGGGCAGAGGGCGGGGGAACGTGTGCCCATACACATGCGCACATGCTATTTCTGGCGCACTTCCGGGTCGGCGGAGCAACGGAAATAGCTTGTGCAAATGTGCATGGGCCTCCTCCAACCCAGATGTGCACCGGAAATAACGCTTGCACATGCGCACAAGCTATTTCCGGTGCTCCTCTGACCTAGAAGTGGGCAGCCGCGCAGCGCAATGCCAGTAAGAGTGGGCGGTGGCAGTGAGCGGCGGGGGTCACCACTGGCTGGATAAATGAGTCCCTCGGGCCTTATCTGGCCCGCGGGCCTTAGTTTGGGGACCCCTGAGTTTGAGGGTCCAGAGCTTGGTTGCGGTAAGGCTTGTTTGTATGTGTGCCACCAACAGCAAAGCTCATCATCTACACCGTGGACCGAAAGTAGTTCTGGACTCAAATGCTGTGGAGTAAACAGGAAGTAGGACTGGCTGACGGCTCCTGTTCCTCTGTCACACTGTGTAGTTAGACAAGTGGTTTTTTTTTCATTTTCCCTGCCAAGGAGAACAAACATTCAGCTTCCTGGGCATATTATACAAATAGACCTTCTTTTCATTGTTGATGTTGAACTTGTGACTCCCAGGAGGGACAAAGAAGAACATTAAAGGACCACCCAATATTTGAGCAAGAATCTTATTCAACTCCCCTCTCCGGCACCAGCAGTTTTTGAAGTCTCTCTTGAGGGTTAGAAACTTGAGGTGCTTCCAGACCATCACTGCTTTGCGGGAGGGATTCAAGTGCATACTGGAAGTTTAGGTTTGTGCCTGTTAAGTTGTGGGTGAACATCTCAGACGACACAGCGATTCTTCAAACACCTCTTGTTCATTCACAGGCCAGAACAGAAGGGTTCAGCCAGCCTGCTTATATAGAGCTCCACTAGAACGCAACAGTAACCATTTTCTGTAACTATCCAATCACTGAATGTCACTTTCAATCCCTTATTTGCATATGGTGGACCTGAACTATCTACAGTATCCCCCTGCTGGCCCAGGGTGAGAACTTCAGTACATAACACCGCCATTAAAGTGAATCAAAGCATTCTGTTGCCCTGACACAATAAATCCACTGTAAAAAAACAGACTTTTTTTGGGGGGGGGAATGATGAGGAAATGCACTGAAAAGTGTGTAGGGGGTGGGGTCATTAATGGAAGGTATATAACTGCCACATATGCAAGGTATGAATTGTTATGTACTGAAGTTCTCACCCTGGGCCAGCAGGGGGATACTGTTGATAGTTTTCACTCAGGTCCACATATGCAAATAAGGAATTGAAAGTGACGTTCAGTGATTGGATAGTTACAGAAGGTTGTTACTGTTGCGTTGTAGTGGAGCTCTATATAAGCAGGCTAGCTGAACCCTTCAGTTCAGTTCTGTTCTGGCCTGTGAATATACAAGAGCTGTTTGAAGAATCGCTGTGTCGTCTGATATGTTCACCCACAACTTAACATGAATGAACTTTCCTCCACTGCCGTTGCCTGCTCACCTTTTGCTAACTTTGTTTTCTGCATCCTGGGCACAGCTATGGAGATCAAGTGCTGCACTTCAAGGTACTGAGAGAAAAGAAAGGGAAGTACCATCTCTGGGACGAGAAGTTCAACTCCATCAATGAACTGGTGGATTTCTACAGAACTACCACCATTGCCAAGAAAGCGCAGATTTTCCTCAGGGATCATGCGGAAATGCAGGAGGTATGGGGCAGCAGAAACTCTCCAAATTGGGGGAGCGGGCATAGAAATGGCAAGGGTATTTCAATGGAAGCGAGTATAAAACAATGCACTTTGGAGCAAAACCTCCCTATCTTCACATATGCTTGAGCAGGGCCTGAACTGGTGGTGGCTCTCCAGGAAAGAGATATTGACCTGGTGAGCATGTCAACTCATAGAATGGCAAGCGGTCATTAGAAAAGGGATTGTTAATGAAACTGCCAATATCGTAATGCCGTTGTACAAATTTATGGCATAACCACACTTGGAATACGTTGTACTGTTCATCGAGTCGTAGAATTGGAAGGGAACCAAGGGTCATCTAGTCCAACCCCTGCAATGCAGGAATCTTTGTAAAGACCGCAGAGAGAATAATTGGGTGCACTCCTCCCACCTTGGATCAAATCTATTCTTCCAGGTGCCATAAGAAAGCTGCAGAGATAGTGCAGGATAGTGCACACCCCGGAAATGATCTCTTTCAGCTTCTGCCTTCTGGAAGAAGGTACAGGGTTATAAAGACTAGGACTAGCCGGCTGAGAAACAGTTTTTATATTCAAATGCAATTTTGGTTTTAAACTCAGGGAGGAAAATCTTCTCCATCTCACCACATCATGTAAACAACACACCTGGCTTGACAGGTGGGCAAGACTAGCTCGTTTGTGTCAGCCAGGCATTTCTTCTCAGCTGTCCTCTCCTTCTCTTTTTCACGCAGCCGAAAAAGCCAAAATTCGTCCAGGCTCAATTCAACTTCACGGCCAAAAGCCCATCCCAGCTGAGCTTCTGTCGAGGGGACGTCCTTGAGATCCTGGACTGCTCTGATCCCAACTGGTGGAAAGGGAGGATTGGCGTGAAGACGGGCCTATTCCCCAGGAACTATGTCTTCCCACTGCGCATGTGACCCGCTTCACCTGCGTTCTCATCGGAGGCTTCTTCTGAAGCAGCCAATCAAAATCTCCCTGAGCAGAAGTCCTGTGGAACATCTATGGAATGACCGCCCCACTTGGAACCTTTTTCAGAAGTGGACCAAAAAGTGGACCTCTCATGTGACAAGTGGTGGTGTAAGGGAGTGGCCTTCAACATTTCCTCGCCCACAACCAGGGATGTGGGAGAAACTTGATTTTGTTTGCATTCGAATGAGAAACCACCTGATTTGTGCTTCTCGAACCAATCTGCAAACCGAAACACAGCCATCCTTGGAAATTCATGTTTCTTCCCATTTTGAGACTCAGTTGTTCAACCAGCATATATAAAAGTGGAAAATGTGCTCTTCATTGGTTTTTCTAAGATAAAGAGACAGAAGAACCACAGGGAAAATGCAGAATGACAATGACTGGATGACAGTGCCATGTGGATGCCCCGTAATAAGTGAGTGAATGAAGGGTGGCAATCCCACACTAAACACTGACAGAGAAAGCACTCCTCCATTGGTTTGGTGCCAGTTGAATCATCACAGTTTCCCCTGAAGAATCCTGGGAATTGTAGTTTTACTGACATCTGCTCTGTAGCCTCACCCTTAAACAGAACTAGAGTTCCCAGCATTCCCTGGGAATGAACGAATGACTGTGAAACCAATATCAAGTTCCATTATTGTATGGGCGCATCCATGGCAATTCCCTCTCATTTCTTTTGCATTATATTTCCTCTTCGTCTGTCCCAGGTTGCTGGATGATTCAAACAAGTTGGGTTTGTGTCAGCAAAACCCACAGGGACATTGGTAGGCTGGAAGTAATGAACCCCTGAATCTAATCCAATGGATTGACCAAGAATTTGGGGACACTGTTTCCATCGGAGGATGGGGTTCCCTTGTGTGGGATCTTCTAGGGACCACACTTCAGTCCTGGGGGGGGGGGGTTCAGAAGCAAAAATGGAGGAATCAATGGATGCAAAATTTACCTTTGTACAGTCGGGTTCATTCCAGCCATGCAAAACCCAAAGGTTTTCCACGCTCTCCTCTCCATCCTGGGTAGCAAAAGGCACTATCACAGTTCAAGAACGCATGCAAACCAGTCAGAAATCACTCAAGGACATGCCCTGGGAGGGGGCACAGCTTAGGGAGGGTCTCAAAAGGCAGGCAGAGGGGCCAGAGGGTCACATTTACCACCTCCAAGCCTGAGCTTCCTCACCTCTGGCTTAGCCGGTCAAAGAGTTGACCTTTCACACACGGGCGGTTTCCAATTTGGGAACAGACGACTGGGTGGGGAATCCCCCTGAGCAAATCTCAGTTCCCTCTTTCATTTGTTTGAAAACACCTCTCCCCCCCCCCAGCTTGTTTCATAAGCATCTTGTGACTAGGCATGCCTTATCTCAGAATGGTGTTTCCCCCCCACCCTGCTCTCTTGGGTCACCAACTGCTCTGGTCAGACCTCACCTGGAGTTCTGTGTCCAGTTCTGGGCACCACAGTTCAAGAAGGACACTGACAAACTGGAACGTGTCCAGAGGAGGGCAACCAAAATGGTCAAAGGCCTGGAAACGATGCCTTATGAGGAACGGCTAAGGGAGCTGGGCATGTTTAGCCTGGAGAAGAGGAGGTTAAGGGGTGATATAATAGCCATGTTCAAATATATAAAAGGATGTCATATAGAGGAGGGAGAAAGGTTGTTTTCTGCTGCTCCAGAGAAGCGGACATGGAGCAATGGATCCAAACTACAAGAAAGAAGATTCCACCTAAACATTAGGAAGAACTTCCTGACAGTAAGAGCTGTTCGACAGTGGAATTTGCTGCCAAGGAGTGTGGTGGAGTCTCCTTCTTTGGAGGTCTTTAAGCAGAGGCTTGACAACCATATGTCAGGAGTGCTCTGATGGTGTTTCCTGCTTTGCAGGGGGTTGGACTCAATGGCCCTTGTGGTCTATTCCAACTCTATGATTCTATGATTCTAACAGCCAAGGGCAAGAGGAAGGAGGAATCTGATACACTCTGCAGCCAGGCAAACATTCTCCCACCTGCCTCCTTGACCCTCCCTCTATTTATAGGCTCTTCACAAAGCCGGGTGTTTGCAAAGAACTCACCGAGCTTTCTGCAAGGCACTGCCTCTCAGTTTCTAGGGAGCATACGAGATAGAGTGCATAGGTATAGTCCACTCTGGCAGAAACCTCGCAGGGAAGGAATTCAGCCTGAGGGCCACATTCCCTTCTGGACAACCTTCCAGGGGCCACATGTGAATGGGGCCAGAGGCAAAAGTGGGTGGAGCAAGGCATGCACACCTTCCAAATTTTTCCAGTGCAAAACCAGGATGTCTTCCAGGATGCACTCTCAGGTGATGTGACCTGTGCCTTGCTCTCACCCCCCCCCCAAAAAAAGCAATTTTGGGTGGGAGGGGGCAGAGCACAGTGCACAAGTGGGATCATGGTATCCAAAATGGCCACTGGGTACCCACTCTGGAAGAATGGCAGATGAAGATGATTGACTGTATGGGATTAGCAGAAATGACTGGCAGAATCCGTATTTACAGAAACATTGTAAAATTAATGAATGTTGAATGATGTTGGGTAGAAACTAAGGGGTTTTTAGCTGTACTGTTGAGAGTGATATAGAAAAAAGGTAAAGAATTAGGTTAAAAATTATTGATAGGGATTTGCTGAAATAACAATTTGAATAAGAATACAAGAAGGGGAGGTATGAGGAGGTCAGTGAAACATGTTATTGAAAATTAAGCATTGTAAACGTTATGTGTTTTTAAACTTTTTTGCTTTTTGCTTTTTTGTATTAAATTGGAAAATTCTAATAAATATTTTTTTAAAAAAAACACACAAAATGGCCACTGGGATCTTGCAAGAAAAAAATGGGATGTCCTGTTTTATCCAGGACGCTTGGAAGGAGGTGTAGCTGAGGCAGGGAATATTACCTACAGTGGCCTGGGGTACTATATTCGGAACCAGGTTCTGCTCAGGTTTGGGTAATTGCATCGGCAGAGACTGCCTAGTCAAATCAGGACAGCTAGAGGAAAAGCTGAGACCAGCTCCATTTGTGGTGATTGGCATGAGCCCGCATTGTATACAGTACATCAGAAGGGGAACACTAGGTGAGAGGACCACCAGTGACTCAGGAGTGTGATGTGGAGAGATTTATTGAACTGACGGCTACCCACAACCTCAATATACAAATTGGTTTTCGCTAGGCAATGATTTTGTGCGTGTGAGTGTACAACCTCGAGTTGGGTTTCGCATGTTAGCTACGGTTATGCTAATCATTTTGTATTCCTTTATGTGGTTTAATAAAGTACCGGTAATTCAGGCAGTCAAGCAGGTGCTTCAGACAAATTTGGAGGCAAAAAGATGGATGCTCATTCCATGCCTGAGCAATGACTTATCCCAACTGAGGAGCAAAAGGCAGAGACTCATCAGCTTCACTGGGCCAGAGCTAGACCTCGTTGGTGCCCTGTATCACATGATACATGGGGTGCAATGCCGCCATTGGTGCCATGGCCCCGGAGCAGAACCCCTCAAAAACAGAGTCCTCTGACAATTGCAACTCTGTAGGAATAACGGGTGATAGGGAAGCGGGTGGTGCTGTGGGTAAAACCTCAGTGCCTAGGGCTTGCCGATTGCATGGTCGGCGGTTCGAATCCCCGCGGCGGGGTGAGCTCCCATCTTTCGGTCCCAGCTCCTGCCCACCTAGCAGTTCGGAAGCACCCTTAAGTGCAAGTAGATAAATAGGTACTGCTTTATAGCAGGAAGGTAAATGGCGTTTCCGTGTGCTGCGCTGGTGCTGGCTCGCCAGAGCAGCTTCGTCACGCTAGCCATGTGACCCGGAAGTGTCTGCAGACAGTGCTGGCCCCCGGCCTCTTAAGTGAGATGGGCGCACAACCCTAGAGTTGGACATGACTGGCCCGTACAGGCAGGGGTACCTAGGAATAACGGACACCAGAAGGTTGGATGCAGGTGAGCTGTGCAGAAGCACACTGGCAAGCATGCTCCAAGCAAGCTGCCGGCTAGCACTGCCAAGGCTCCTTTTATTAGCAGACGTCAACAATTGGAAACAGTAGGAAACCAGCCTGAACTTAATGTATTTCCATCTAAGCACATTTCCAGTGTTAGCAAATACACGTGTCAGCAGGTGTTTCCCTCAGATGTTCCCCCGATACTTGATTACGTCTGCTGTCCCCCGCCATGCTCCAGCCAAGCGTTATGTCTAACAAACAAATTGTGAGAGGACAAAAGGTCAGGGGGGAAACCCTGTTTTCTAGCCAAGAAGGCAAAAGGTCAGAGAGAGCAGGCGTAACACTCCTTGACATACTGTTGCATGTCTGGTGTGAGGTTTGCCTTCACAAAGCAGAGCGTTACCTCTACACAACTCCAAGGAAGGGACGGATCCATGTTCTGCCCCATCCTGCATGGGTCGTTGGACTCAGATGTCCCCCTCCCCAGAGCCCCAAGGGGACAACTCTGCCACCAGACTCTGGTGGCTGGTCCATAAACCCTTGTGGAATCGAGAGAGCCCTGAGAGATCCCTATGGCTGAAAACCCCAGTACCTCCAAAAAAGGCAATGGTTGCAGAATAAAACACTGGTTCTTTAACCGTCTGTGTGGCAGCACTGAGGAGATGGGCCCTCAAGTCAGTGACTACCTAGCCATGCTTTAAAATTCTGCCAACAGCTCCAGGACCTTGCTGAGACAACTTGGATGTTTGACCATCCCAATGATCTCTCTCCAAGGTGCTGACCCTTGCCTTGTCTTTACTTGGGCCAGCACCCTTCCTTAGTGATGCCGTAGCAGAAACCACATGATGCAAGGAGCCAATAGGATGTCTTCTGGGCTAGAAGCTGCAAGACCACCCTGTGGCCATCTGCAATGAAGGTGCTGCAGCAATTTCCTCTGTTTGCCAGTGGGCCAATGTCAAAAGAGAGTTGTGGTGAGTCTTCAGCTCAGTTGCACCAGAGGTAGCAAAACAAGATGGGGGTGTTCCTGTGCCGCTCTCATGCCTAGCCAGAAACAGCTACCATGCCCAACTACAAGTGCCCTGAGGAACATGTAAAATGGCCAAGCTGAACTGAGTTCAGTATTTATGGGCTGTTTACAAATCAGGGCCTTTTTCTGCAAACGAAATCTGCCAGTTTATTTTTAATTTTTTTCTAAGAAAGATTCTAGTCCCCTTGGTTGCAAAAAGTAAAAAATAAATCTGCATATGCTAGCCCAAAGGTCCAGTGTCAACTCCAGTGGAGTACCTTATAAAATCCCAAAGTTTCCCACCCTGGATTAATGCACAAAAGGAGCTGCCTTCTACTGAGTCAGACCATTTGCTCATCTTAACTCAGTACTGTACATACTGGCTGGCAGCAGCTCTCCAAGGTTTCAGGTGGGGGGTATTCCCAGCCCTACCTGGTGATTGAACCTGAGATCTTTTGCATGCAGATCAGCTGCTCTACTCTACTGAGCTACAACTCTTCCTCTTGGCAGCTTAGTACGGCCCCATCAGTAGCTGAAATATAATATTTAAATAAAGCAATCCACTGGTATCAGAGAATACTTCCCATCTTCCACGTACACACCAGTTCTCTCTTCCCCTCCCCACCCACCCCAAACTCCTCCCTGTCTTCTTTGAGGAACTTTCCAGAAGACATCCCTTAAGCAAAATAAGCATAGAAAAACACATTGACACAGATCAGGAGAAGGGCATTTGCACAGCAGATCTGAGCCCAGAAGCGGAACTCTGTCTTGCCCCCAGGGGGCTTCCCTGGGGGGTTTCCAGCTTTCATGACGCAGGGGGCGCAGGCCTTTCCGTTGCCAAAGCAACTCCACGGGAGGCTTTCCGGGAGATCTGTGAGAAAGAGAGAGAGCAAAGGGTTTATTCATGGAAAACAAAACAAAAAAGGATTAGACAAAGTCCTAGAGCAGGGATGGGGAACCTAGAGCAGCAACAGCTGGTGCCCATGGAAACTGGTGGGGTGGAAGACAGGAAGCCCGAGAGTAAGGGCAGCCAAAGCCAATGACCGTCAAAGCCAATTCCAGTTTTGTCCCCATCCTCTTCCTCCTCTTCCTCTCTGAGTTCCTCATGGGCAACACTGAGTCTAAGGTGGAGGAGGCTGACAACCAGGTAGGGCTGGCTGATGGCAGACTGAGGCTGGTGGGACATTGTCCCCTTCGCCCTCATGCAGGGCTGGCCCACCCATGAGGCAAGGTGAGACAGCCACCTTAGGCAGCAGGATCCACCGGGGCAGCAGATCCCGATGTAGATCTCCATTCCCCACTTCTTTCTGATATAGATCTTGACCCGCCCCTTCTTCCCTAGCAGGGTCGCCATTTTGTGGTGTGCCTCAGGTGCCAAAATCTATTGGGCTGGCCTTCCGATGGGGCTGGGCTCCCATCATCCCCTGACCATTTTCGGCCATGCTGGCTGGATCTAACAGCCAACAACGTCTCAATGGTTCCTCAGTTCTGTCCATTTGGTAGCCAAATTTCCACTGCCAGCTTAGAAACTGCATTCTAGTCATATCAAGAATTATAAAATGCACGGTGTTATAAATCTTAACCCAATGTTTCATTACCCATGGAGGTTGGTGCACATGGGTACTAATGGCTGTTCTGTGATTCTGTATTTAATTTTAATTGGGAGTTTGACATCTTTTATATTGTGAAGTCCTTCGGCTACGTTCAGTAAAGTTGACGGACTGATCACAGGATATTTCAGCACCCGCCGTTCACATGAAACCACATATTCCAATGGGCTTTTCTTTTTCCCTGCCCCTCTGAGAGAGGATGTCGTTCAAATCGTGCCTGGGGCCTACCATCGTTCTGTGTGCTGGAAAAGCCATCCTCAGGCAGCGATTTGGGGTTGGGGAGTTGGGGAGGTAGGGACTCCTCACGAAGAGTCCACCAAGTCACAAACTTTACCTGCAAATATAAAAAAGTAGGGGGAAAGCCAATGAAATACAAAGTTGCATTTGCTTATGAGCGTCATTACCATTGATAGCCAAAGCATGACGTTGTGAGGTAAAATGTGCCGCTGATAGGAAAGCAACCCTCCTGACAGAAAAACAAGGGATATGTTCACTCGGCAGAGATATTGGAGAGGAACAATGGTTGAAATTTGCACCTTCCATCCTTCAGTGTACAGGAAAGAGTTTGACTCTGAGGGAAGTAGCGCACCCAGGAGAAGTTCTGGAAGGTTCCGTGGTTGCTCTGTACTCAGGCAATTCCTAGTTTGAGGCCACAGATAAGGCCCAAGAGACTCTAGTTTCGCTCAAATTAGACTTGTGAAAATTCACAGTCCCAAGTTTTCTGTGTCAGTTAATTTCAATGTCTCTGTTCTGAGTATGTCGAATATTGGATGAAGCCCCTACACTCTAGCGGTAGCTTTTGGATGAAATTATTATTATTATTATTATGATAGGGTTTTTTTAAAAAACTATGATAGGGTTTTTTTAAAAAAATAAATAAACCCATACAGAAAATAACTAAAGGTCTTTAAAATGGCATTTTATTTCATTTAAACGAATCTGTAAATTTGCTAACGCTTTTAAATCTTTTTTACACTTCATACAAAAATAAAATCTCTAACTCGTGTGCGACATAAAAACAATAAACAATTTTATTAAAACAAAAGTAGGTGATAAAACGAAACTGCTAAATGGACAAGCCTACCCAGATGCTTAGAAAATTGAGGCAAATTTAATCCGTTTCGGTGTTTTAACTTTTGTGTGTTTTAAAGTAGGGTAGTGATTTCTCCCTCACCCCTTGATTTAATTGTTTTATCTTTTTGTAAACTGATTGAGATTGTTGGGGGTTTTTTAACCATTAGGCGGTATATACATTTTATGAAATAAATAATTAACAAACAAAAGAGATAAAATAAAAAGAGGAATTTGGGGGATTCAAATGAGAGAGAGAGAGAGAGAGTGTGTCCAATATTATGGGTCAGAGAAACTCCTGTAATATCAGACCCTCCCAAATGCAAATTAACAGTCAAGATGCAAAACAAACCCTAACAGGAAGGCCTGTTCTACTGACCCCTGACCTGCCCCCCATCTTGATGTTTTCCGCTCGTGCCAGCCTCCTGCCCTGAACCCTGTCAGAGGTGTCTCCTTGGCACCACCTTCCAGGTGCAGAGAGATCCAGGCAACGCCCACCGTGTTTTCTCGTGCCACCCAACCGTCCATTCTCTCTGGGGACACATCAGAACAAACCACTCCACTGGGCATGTCCCAATACGTCTGAGAGGGCCCTGGTGCCAAGGAAGGGCAGTCTTCCATAGCTAGCGGTGGTGGTTAGGTGGCACATGCATGGCTCGGCCTCTCTGGGTGGAGTGGAAAAGACTTATTTCTTTCTTTTCCTTCAAAGGTGGTTTAACAGAAAGGATTCTGCCTTGGGCAATTGCTTCGATCAGAAGCAAAGTTTGGGCCTGTGTCACTATCAGGGCAAGGAAATCCTATCGAGTGTCAATGCCAGGAGGCCATTTTCCCTTGCCAACGCAAGGCAGACGATCCTTGTTTTAAAAAGCTTGTTCCTCTCCCCCTGTTCCAGAAAGAAATGAGGGCTTTATTTCTGAGGGCAAAAACAGTGAGTTTTACCCTCCCGGTGAATTTCAGCTGATTTCATTTCGTACATGGCATTTCCTATTGTAAGATGCTCGGAAACTACGGTGTTCAGGCGGTGCCTAAGCTATGAAAACGTATTTAAATAATTGCCATTTAATTAATAATATGAATTATTAAAATAAAATTTGCGGAAGAGCCGTGACTCAGCCGAAGAGCACCTGCTACTTCTCTCCTCAGATGCCATCATTGCTCTGTCACATGGAGGATGGAGCAAACTTATTTTTTCCTGCTCTGGAGGGTAGGAAATGGATTCAAGTTATAAGAAAGGAGAGATTCCGACTAAACGTCAGGAAGAACTTTCTGACCGGAAGAGCTGTTCAACAGTGAAGCAGTCTCCCTTGGGAGGTTGTACAGTCTCCTTCCTTGGAGGTTTTGAAGCAGAGGTTAGATGGCCATCTGTCATGGATGCTTTAGCTGAGATTCCTGCATTCCAGGGGGTTGGACCCCTCAGGGTACCGTCCAAATACAGTGGACGCTCAGATTGCGAACGTGATCTGTGCAAGATGCACATTCGCAACCCGCAGTGGCACTTCTGCGCATGCACAAAGCGTGATTTAGCGCTTCTGTGCATTTGCGAACCACCAAAACCTGGAAGTAACCCATTTTGGTGGGTCTGTAACCCAAAAAAAGGCAACCTGAAGCATCTGTAACCCGAGGTATGACTGTATACAGTTCTGTGATTCTCTTGCTTCTCCTCCTCTACTCCACTGGGGCAGCTCGGCTCACCTGCTTACAAGCTCTACTCACCTGGGATTCGGCGGGTGGCTGAGTCAGCAAGCTGATGCCTGCCACCACCATGGCAGTCAGCAGGAAGAGGAGGGTGGCGAAGTGAAGATAGTGGAGGTCCTTCACGACGGAAGGGCGCCTGTCCGGGACACCACACCGGGGCGTGGGGTGCGCAAACTCCAAGGCCATCCGGCTCAGGCCAATGACCAGCCCCACCATCAGGCCCCAGAAAGCCCCCTGCAGATAAAGACAGGGCCCAAAAGACTGAAATTCTAACCTCCTTGGTCAAGGCCTCTGGAGAAAGCAGATAAATTTCGGGAGAAGGAACCAGAAACAAGGAGCAAGTTGTTTTCTTTCCTTTTAATGCCAGACTTAACCACCCTCTTCCCTCATCGTACTGAAGTTGTGATTGACTCCTTCAGGCTTCAACCAGACTTATTTAATTAATTTTATTCATTCCCTGATCTTCAGCAGGTTTCCCAGGGTGGCTAAGGAAAAGAAAGCAAACTAAAATTCCCAATGGAAACAGTTAAAATGAAAGCTGCTTATATCCCACAATAAAAAAGCGCAATTAGAAGCCTGAGCATCAAACCACTTCCATGCAGGATAAACATAACATCAACATTCACACATGCGTGTAACTCAACCCAACAGAACACAGATTGCATCCACATATCCACAAATAATGCTATATAACATAGTGACACAAGCAAACATGCAGGACACACTACACAACAGAACGCCACGTTTGCGTAACAGATGATAATGCCACATCCACAGAACAGAACACCATACCAACATAAGATAACGTAACACCACATCCACAAAGCATCGCAACATATCCACGCAATGTAACATCAAAGGACCACAGCTACACATTCACTTAAAGTGGTATAAAGCCCACGTATACATTTGTAGCAGAGACCTACAGTTTACAAACAGGTGCGGCTTTCACAAAAGGAAAGCAAACGATTGCAATGCAAATTTGGGTGATTCACATTGCACATATTATCATGGGGTTTTCCCATTTGGGGACAGACTTGTAAGGGACAGGAAAAATGCAGAGGGTAGGAAACAATGAGGAGACAAGGGTAGACACTGGTGGGTTAGTCCCCTGACCTTAAAAAATGCACCTGTTCTACTATGGGCAACATTGCATATCCACCCACCAGTTCCTGGATTTATGTTTTAAATAGTGCTTCTCTCTTTTTTAAAAAAATGATACAACAAGGAGAGTCCAAGGCTCAGATTCTCTCTTTGGCAGATTCTCTCCACTTAAGGGGCATCTCAAGTTGCAGGGCTAGGAAAGACTGATGCTTAGGGGCAGAACATCTGCCTTGTGCACAGAAGATCTCATGTTCAGTCCCTGATAACTCCAGGTGGGAATGGGAGAAACTCAAGCCCTAGATGAACACTGCCATTCTGTGCAGACATTGCTGAGAGGTGGCTCAACAGTCTGACTGAGCTTAAGGCAACTTTCAATGTCCCCCCTTAAGTCATTTATTAAAAACATATACTATATCTTACTATATAATAAAAACAAAAACAAAATTTTCCTTCCAGTAGCACCTTAAAGACCAACTAAGTTAGTTCTTGGTATGAGCTTTCGTGTGCATGCACACTTCTTCAGATACACTGAAACTAACTTAGTTGGTCTTTAAGGTGCTACTGGAAGGAAAAAAAATTTTTTGTTTTGACTATGGCAGACCAACACGGCTACCTATCTGTTACTATATAATATTATTGCAAGGAAATGTCATCACGCTGCAGTTCACCTGGTCACCAGTAGGGGGCCATGTGAGCAGGATGGTAGTGGAAGCGAACAAACAAGCAGGCTGGCAGGTGGTCCAGACAGGGGCTTCCCGTTCACCCTGTTGTCATGGCCACCGCCACCCACTTGCTCGCTCGCAGGCACAGCAGGGCAAGGCAAGCCCAGCATCAGAGGGGGCGAGTGGTCTGGCTGAGCGAGAAAGCGAATGGGCAGGTGGTCCGGCAGAGTAAGCAACTAGGGAGGCAACTAGGTGGGTGGGCCTGGCAGGTCTTTGCATGCTCCTAGTACTCCATCAGCGTCAGAAGGAAGCATGCATTTCAAAATGCATGCTTACTGCCTGCCAGCTGCAGCGCGGAGCGCAAGGGAGAAAGGCCCTTTCCTCCTCTTTCCCCTCTCCTCCGCAAGTGGTAGCAACAGCGGCAGTAGGGGGATTGTGTTTGGGGCAAGCTGTTGGCAGAGGGAGTTTGGAGTGAATTGTTGGGGGAGTTTGGGCTGAGCTGTGGGCATGGCTGTCAACCTTCCCTTTTTCCGCAGGAAATTCCCTTATTCCAGCGCCGTTTCCCGCTGCTTCCCGCTGCTATCCCGGATTGTTAGATATCCTGTAGACTGTCCCCAGGACAGGTGAGGCTGCTGATCCCTTATTTTCAAATCTGAAAGTTGACAGCTATGGCTGTGTGGAGTAAGGTGGGAATGTCAGGGAGGTGGGGATGGGGTACCGAAGAAGCTGTGAGTGGGGGGGTCAAGGAGTTGTGAGAGGATAGGCGTGGCTTGGGTGTAGGGAGTTTGATGGACTGGCAAGATGGCTCGTGATGGATAGCTCAGTCAGTAGAGCATGAGACTCTTGATATCAGGGTTGTGGGTTTGAGCCCCATGCTTGGCAAAAGATTCCTGCATTGAAGGCTTCGTCACGATGAGCCTCATAGTCCCTTCCAACTCTACAATTCTATGATTCCATGGGGTTGGCGAGCAAAGTGCGCAAGGGCAGCAGTCTCTAGTTTATATACCCCCATTGTTCAGCCCAAACACTGAGGTCCAGCGCCGAGCGCCTTCTGGTGGTTCCCTCACTGCGAGAAGTGAGGTTACAGGGAGCCAGGCAGAAGGCCTTCTTGGTGGTGGCACCCTCCCTGCGGAATGCCCTCCCATCAGATGCCAAGGAAATAAACAACTATTGGGCTTTTAGAAGGCAGCCCCGTGCAGGGAAGTTTTTAACGTTTGAGGTTTTGTTGTGTTTTTAATATTTTGTTGGGAGCCGCCCAGGGGAACCCAGTTCGATGGGCGGCATATAAATAATAACGTTCTTGTTATCATTATCAGCTATTATATATGAGCATACCTGTTCATTAGCTCGCTTCCAGAAAACGGCCAAGAGGAAGACAGCCGTGACGGGTGGGGCAAGGTAGCTAGTGACAGATTGGATGTAGATGTAGAGCTGTCCGCTGTTGGAGCTCTGCAGGATTGGGATCCAAACCACGCTGACAGCAACTAGGACAATAGTGACTATCCTGCAAGGTTAGCGATAAAAAAAAATAACAAGTGAAACATCATCATCATAAGAGTGGGTTTTCTGGGGGAAAGCAGAGAGGCAAAGGCAAAACCTCTCAGACTTGTGGCTAGAATGCATGGAAACAGCGGAAGTGTGGACAAGCTCCATGAGGACTTCTTGTGTTCTAGGTTACAGGAGAAGAACCTTATCCAAAGGCCACCAGAACCCTGGAGGGGCGAGTGAGGTCTTGTTCACACAAATACCGAGCAAATGGCAGTCCAGGCCACGGCATTTCAAAAACCCTGCCTGTGTCAAAGAAGTCATGCGCAACAGAGGCTGTGTGCAAGGCTTCACTTTCTCCATGCACGGGAAATTATCAGCCGCCCACACCCTGAGAGGGTCACCGATGCAAGACATAAAATAAGGGAGGGCTTTGCAAGCAAGCAAAATCGAATGCTCCTCAATTGCACCGCAGGCCAGTCTAATCTGTGCATTTTATGCATATCTGGAAGCGGTCCAGTGTCCATGCAGGGTTATATTGCCTTTGCAGGTAACCGAGAAAGGAACTGAGATGAAAAACTTGTTCCCGTGGGCTGGGCTTCACTCAGCACCTCGACTGACGCAACCAGATTTTACGGCAGACAGGTATGGTGGGATCTGCAACGTGGGATTACTGCAGGTTTGCCAACGAGTCCTACCAAGGGGCCCCAAGAGCTTCTGGGAAGCCAGCATGAAAGGAGTTGGCAGACACTGAGATGCATGCAATGCCTTGCAAAAGCAAACCTTTACAAGCGTCAGGGTAATAGGGGATCATATAAGGGGAAACAGGTCTCAGCCTGTTGCCCTTGTGTGTTGCTTTTCGAAAACCGTTTATTTACACCCGAGGCCACAGATGATCTGCTTAATTAAATAAAGAATCCCCGTGCAGTTATTATGTAAATAAAGAAACTAAACAATTTTTAAAACAGGAAGCGGGGAAAATAGTATCCCGGTCAACTCTTGATTATTCCGGCACTGCTCAGCCGAAGCAAACATTTTAATGGCTGCAGACCCGGAAGCAAAACCATACAGCTGTCCCAGGATGGCATGCCATCAAAGGAGGGTGCTGTCATGGGAAGTACATGTTGCACCACTTCTCTGTGGCAGCAGTAGATCCAGGATTTGTCCATCTCAGGGCAGTATGTCTGAGTCAGGCCTCACACAGACAGGCAGACACACACCCCTGCCTTGACACGACTCTTTTTTCAAAACAATGCAAAGGCATCAGCCAAATTCTCTCTGCTCAAGTTCTTTCTCAACAGCCAGTTTCAACCTAAGTCATGTTATGGGCAGACGTGTTCAGGTGGATTCTCATCCCAGTATGCCTGAAGAAGCGTCTCCACTCCCATCAATCAGCCCGGACACTGAGGTCCAACTCCAAGGGCATTCTGGTGGTTCAATCACTGCAAGAAGTGAGGTTACAGGGAACCAGGCAGAGGGCCTTCTTGGTAGCGGCGCCCGCCATGTGGAACACCCTCCCATCAGATGTCAATGAAATAAACAACTATCTGACACCTGAAGGCAGACTTGTTAGGGAAGTTTTTAATGTTTGATGTTTTATTGCTTATTATTATGATTGATAATATTCTTTTTAGAGTCGCCCAGAGTGGCTGGGAAAACCAGAATGGGGTATAAACAAACAAACAAACAAACAAACAAACAATATTGTTGTTGTTATATTTTTCAACATTATTATTATTCATCATCATCATCATTATCATCCAGGCTTGCTTTGCCCCAAAAGTGGCATATAAATAAACCAGGACATAATACAGTCATACCTCGGGTTACAGATGCTTTGGGTTGCGCACCGCACCGCGCCGAACCCAAAAGTACCGGAATAGGTTACTTCCGGGTTTCAGCGCTTGCGCATGCACAGAAGCACTAAATCGCGCTTTGCACATGCGCAGAAGCACCGAATTGTGACCCACGCGTGCGCAGAAGTGCGGGTCGCGGGTTACGAGCACTGTGGGTCGCGAACGTGCCTCCCACACGGATCACGTTTGCAACCCAAGCATCCACTGTAGTTCAGAATTTACCCCTGCACCACTGGCCCTGTATAAATTATAAAGGGGGAGGATGATGTCATATGGAAAATGAGAATGCCTTTCCAAATGCCTGACACACACACGGCCACCAGGAGCTAAGGTGTGTCAGTTTCCCACCCCCTCCCCTCTTCACAAGATAACGCCTGTCATTGATCAAATGCGCAGGGTGAGTCACGCCCACCCATTCACTTCCAAGAATCCCGCTCCATGTGTCAGTCTCCCCCGCCTGCCTTTCCTTAATCGCCCGGCTGTTTGCGCAAGAGATATTGTGCAGAAAAGAGAAAGAGGCGAGGAGAGCTCTTGCAGCCTTCATCATCAGGCAGCTGCCAGGGAAAAGGAAGAGTTTACACCCAAGTAAAGAGGGAGGGGGAAATGATATCCTTATAAGGGAAGACTGAAGCCAACTTCCTGCGCGGTGACGTTCCTACACGCTTTATTATTTCCTTTTCTTTCTCTTGGTAGTTCATTCCCCATGGTAATCTGTTGCGTCTCAATGCATTCATCGGCACATAGGTAAGGAAGTTGGAAGTATAGGGCGAAGTTAGGCAGGCAGGCTGAGAGGCTGAGAGGCCGAAGCCAGGGTGTCCTGCCTCCCTGCGGTCCTCAGACTCCCAGCTTGGTTTTTGCCAAAGGCTTTAATGCCTAGTAGATCGCTGTGGTAGATAAGTCAGGTTACGAGACAGATAGGTCCTGATTCTCACCCTGTGGCTCCTCCTCACTCCCCTCTGGCCAGCCCTGCCAAGATGTCTCTACAGGGCTCCTGGCACATCTACAGCCCCACCCACTTTTTGCATAATATTTGCATTTTCTTATTTGCATGCGCAGGTGCAAATTGAAGCGGCTAGGCTTACTCCGAACCATGGAGTGCCAAGAGGATTTGCTGGGCCCAGGATACTTTAAGCGGATTGGGCCCTCCACAAACTATGATGGCAGGTGGGGTCTCACTGAGACTGCACTCTGCACTGCGCCCAGATGCCCTTGAAAGCAAATCTCTTTCTTTAAGTTTAAAGGAAGGAGGTAGCAGCTACAGACATTAGGACCAGTGCTGTATTTACGTATAAGCTAAACAAGCTATAGCTTAGGGCCCCACTTTCTTGGGGGCCACACAAAAATTTAAAGGGGGGAAAAACTGAATGTACATTTCCAAAATATAAGATAAAAAGCAAATAAAATAAAACCTACATACAGCAACAGTGTTTTGTTTTGTGTGGGCTCCTATGATGTAAGTCATGGGCCCCACCTGCTAGCCTGCTCCCTAAAATATCACTGGTTTGCTCCTTTCTATATATAGGGTGCCTACATTCTGCATGGACTGGTTGCATGGCAATGTGCAAATGGCTTTAGAATGATACCTATTAGGTCCATAAATTACCATATAGCATGTATTCAACACAAAAAACAGCAACCATTTGTTGTTGACAAAGGACAGCTGGACATAGGAAGGGCCCCATTACCTTCAGTAGCCTCATCAAACCTAAATCCTGCCCTGGTTAGCACCCCAGTGCAAAAGACCCAGGGTCACCCCTGATAACAGCCCTGTACAACACAATGCTATAAATGCCACGTGTCTTATCATACTTCGCTCTGCCAGAAGAAAACCGTGCCAGTTCCATCGTTCTTGTAACATCTGGCTTGATGTTTAATAATTGTGTTCTGTGGTTTCTTTTGGCTGCTAGCTGCCTTGTGGGCCCTGTCGTTTGAAGAAGTATTTTCAGTGAACAAACACGCCGACATCCAGTAATAATGAATGGCTTTGTTTTCGCTGAGAGATCTCAGCGTCCTGATAAAGTCGCCACACAGTCCCACCCCAAAGAGGAGCCACCCTCTTTCACAAATGGGTAAAGTGAGATAAGACAGCATCATTATGTCCCCATGAATCAAAGTCAGGGACCCAGAAGTGACTCCTCTCTCTAGTTAACCATCGGCATTTCTGAAGATTCCCCTTTAAGCAGAGAAGCAGCGGCATATCAGAACCACGTCATTTAGTTATCTGGGAGCCCATCTGCCCTATAGATTTAAAGCAGCGCCGTACCAGTTTAAATTGCCATGGCTTCCCCCAAAGAATCCTGGGAGATGTAGTTTGTTAAGGGTGCTGAGAATTGGTAGGAGACCTCCGATTCCAATTCCTGGAGCGGTTTAGCGATCAATCGCTCTTCCTAGGGAACTCTGGGAAATGAAGCTCTGTGAGGGGAATGGGGGAGTCTCCCAATGACTCACAGCACTCTTAACAAACTACAGCTCCCAGGATTCTTTGGGGCAGGCCATGACTGTTTAAAGTGGTATACCTGCTTTCCACATATGGAGCCAAAGGGGCCTGGGAAGCTGATGATTTGCTGCTTAAAAGAAATCACCGGCCTAGTAGCTGGATTTATTACTGACAAATGAAGCATTGCGAAATCGCTGAAGAATTAGGTTAGAGTTTGGGAGGGCTCATTCCTGCAAGCTCCCTTGTTGTTGTTGTTTTTAATTGCTTCGTTGCAGCTCATTTGGCAGGTTACCTCTCCCTCTTGCTCTCTCTCATTCCGTGTTCACACATCGAAGCAAATCGATTAAGCCCAAAGAGACAAAAGGAGGAAAACAATTAAGTCAAGGCGTGCCCGCCTTGCCAAATGCCATCTAAGGCTGGCTGGCTGGAATCATCAGGGGAGTGTCCCCAAATTGCTACTCTACGGCAATTGAAATTGCACAATCGAACACAGGGACCAGACACGTCACATAAATTAGCAGCAAGAGGCTGCGTTCCAGATTTAGCTGTGGATAAATATGTGCATGGGGGATGCGGGTGGCGCTATGGTCTAAACCACTGAGACTCTTGGGCTTGCCAATCGGAAGGTCGGCGGTTCGAATCCCCACGACGGGGTGAGCTCCTGTTGCTCGGTCCCAGCTCCTGCCAACCTAGCAGTTCAAAAGCATGTCAAAGTGCAAGTAGATAAATAGGTACCGCTCCAGCAGGAAGGTAAACGGCGTTTCTGTGCGCTGCTCTGGTTTCGCCAGAAGCAGCTTAGTCATGCTGGCCACATGACCCGGAAAAACTGTCTGCGGACAAATGCTGGCTCCCTTGGCCAGTAAAGCGAGACGAGCACCACAACCCCAAAGTCATTCGCGACTGGACTTAACTGTCAGGGGTCCTTTACCTTTAAATATGTGTATATTATCAGGCGTGCTCTGGTGTGCTGTGGTCCATGGGGTCACGAAGAGTCGGACACGACTAAACAACAACAATATTATCAAGAAAGAAGAAGAAAAAGCCCTGTCAGCCATTAGCTGCCTCCAGTCTCCTACATTGGTTGAGCTGCTGTGACATCACAAAATCCACACATTCTTAATTGTCACGGGAGAGGCAAGGACCAGCAAAGGAAAGTTGACTTCATGAACAGTCTCAGTGTTGCTGGGAGAGGGAAGGACCAGTATACGAATGTTGATCACTGGCACATTTGGTGTGAAGAAACAATATTTTGATTTTGTTCTGTGAACCACCCTGAGACTTCCGGGTATAGGGCAGTATATAAATTCAATAAAGAATAAAAGAATAAAAAGAAAGTGGGAGGTCAATTGTTTGGGCTTCAAAATGAGGGATGGGGTTAGAACTTAATTATCCTTCCCTTCTATTTCTCCACCATTACTCAGCAGACCCTGCCTTATTTATAGGGTAACCAGCCTCATATAACCAACATGCTTAAGTCTAATTAATGCACGAAGGGGTTAATACCATAGAGTAAGCTGTCCTGCTACATTTAGCTATGTTTATGTCCCTTACCCTGGGAGGAAACAGGTAATCAGGTCTAATATTATCCCACTGTGTACCTGAGAAGACTGGTGTGTAAAGGGCTTCTCTTGAATCCCTATATCAATAATCTAGGAACTTTTGCCACTTCTTAACTAAGCCAAGTTTTACTGCCTGTGCATCTTTCTGAAGCACATGAATCTGACCTTGGGAGAGTTTGTAAGTAAACCATTTTTAACTCCCCAAATGTGTGGTGTTTTTCTATGCTAGGGGAAGTGGGAAACTGTGGAAAGAAACTTTTAAAGAGGACATTACATTTCGAAACTCACTTTAAAGGGCACCTTTTTAGGTTTTACAGACTGTATTTTCATGCTTTACTCTGCTGCATGTTTTGTGATTTTAAATCTCCGCTGGGGTTCTCTCAGCAAAGAGAACTTCCCCCAAATTGAGTTTACGCATATGGAACAGGGCAAGATGATCGTGCCTTTTGCCTCGGGCAGCAAAATGCCTTGAACCAGCCGCACTGACCCACATGGCCAAATATGTCAATAAGGCAGGCTGAGTGAGGAATTCCCTCCAGGCAACCTGCTGCCACTGTGAGCAACAAAAGGAATGCAGGCTAGCATTTTCGTGAGGGGCAGGGGCAAGTCATTCTGCAGAGCTTTTAGCAATACGGTTAAAGGCACAGCAGAGGACAAGGGAGACTGTGTTGAAGGTCAAGCAGGATACACAGCAACTTTTACAGGGCATTCCTTGGGCTGTTCAGAAATGCAACCCGATAAATTGGTGGATCACTCGGTTAATTAATGATCTGGATCACCCATAGGAAATTCAAGTTGCTGGCCATCGGTCCTCTCTCGGCTACACAAACATGCTCATTAATTGAAATGTGGAGAGGCTTGCAAGCAGGATTTCTGCATCATTAGGTCTGTTGTGCAGGCAGATAAACTGAGTTGCTGGTGACGGCGGGAAATGATTCAGAACGCAGGACTACGGAGGCATAAACAGGGGAAGTTAATCTCCGTGCCTGGCTGGTGCAAGGAAAAGATCCAACAGGGTGTCCATTATGATGATGATGATGATGATGATGATGATGATGATGATGAAACAGCAGCACACAATGAGCCTTTGACCCTCCAGGTGTGTCTGAACTGCAACCCCCATTTATCCCTGCCCATGGACCATACTGGCTGAGGATCATGGGAGTTGTAGTCCAGCAACATACAGCTAGCCAGCAGCACCTGCACTATGCGTTTATAAAATGCATTTTTAAAAAAAGCCTTTTGAAAGATTGTTAGCATTTTAGTGTTCACGTCTCATTTTTGCAAGCAAATCTTCTGAATATGATGCATTTTTGCATATATTTTTTTGCAAAAGAAAATGTGCATTTTGATGGATGCTTTCACCTAATCCAGGTTGGTTGAACCCTTTTTTAGCAGCCCTTGGCCACATTCAGGGAAAAAACATTTTAAAGCCTTAAATTTTTATTTTGTGTGTGCCATGTGTTGTTAACGAAAGCACATACATCTGTTTGTCTATTAGATTCGTTTAACAATTAAAGCTATCAACTGTGTATTTAATTATATATATTTAATCAAATATATAATTTGTGTACATTAAATAACATTAAATACTTATCTTTAATTTAAGACGCGGAAATTGCGTGTGGCCCGCAGGTTCCCTGTCAAGGTACTCTTGCAGCCCACTTGGTGTGAGAGGTTGGGCCACTCTAATCCATGCAGTTTGCACATAATTTTGAAAAGTGTGAAATGGGTAGCCCCTTATTCGAATTCAGCTTGAACCGAATTTCTCTCCCGTTCATCCCCACCCCCTAGTCATGGCGCTTAGCATCCAGGGGCAACAAAGGTTCCTGAGCCAGAAAAATCCCACAAGTTCTTGTAAAGATGGCCAAGTAATAGATCCAAAAATAATGAATTAAATAACGAACTGCCAGCACTGCCCTTTCATGACACACAAAAACTGCCTTTGCTTTGTCTAATGGTAGAGCCAGCCCCAGGGATACTGCCCTGCCCCAGGCTGGTACCTTCCAACCAGAAGCAGCTCTTTCTCACTGGGCTCCTTCCGGACCTTCTGCCAGATGTCCATGGTGAAGAGGGTGCTGCTGCTGTTGAAGATGGAGGTCAGGGATGACATCAGAGCAGCCATCATGACGGCGATCATTAACCCTCGCAGACCTGGAGGTAGGAACCAGAAAGGCCAATGGCCACTTTGTTTTAACCCTGTTGGTTACATGTCACTGGCTCTGTGCCAAGGAGTGGTGGGAGGCAGCAGCTGGGGGAACCCCCAAGGGAAGAAGGCTCAGAGTCAGCAGTTTGGTGGTGGGACGGCGGCGAGTGGTGAGAGAGAAAAGAGGAAGCAGACTGTGAGGAGGAGGGGTCGGAAGCTGAAGAGACAACAGGGCTAAGTGAGAGGGGAGAGCCTGTGTCAGAGAGAAGTCCAGAATCAGAGGCAGAAGCTGAAGCAGGAGAGGAGGGAGGCCAAGATACAGACAGCAGTCTGGATGGTGAAGAAGCCAGGGTGTCTTCCCCCTCCTGCTGAGACAAGCTCCCCTTCCCTCTGGTCTCCCAGAACCAGAAGAGGCACGAAAAAGGATGGAGGAGAGGTTGCTTACACTCAGACACAGCATCCAATTGCTTGGGGGGTGGGGAACCTCTGGAGAGGAGGGGACCAGCAGTTGTGGGGAGGCAGGGACCTTCAGTCTCAGCAACAGCTTCAGGGGGCAGAACCTACTAGAGATGAGTTGCTGCGCTCTTTAGGCCTGACACTCTTGCGCCAATCATATTTTTGCTAATAAAGAGTAAACTCCAATTTGTATGGTGTTACTCACTGCTGGGTGGAGGCAGGGCCATGCTGTTGATCCAACAGTCCAGCTCAGAGTACAACCCCGGGGAGGAGATGCCAGCTAGTTGGTTGTCAGAACTTACTACTATAAGCATGTGCTTTGTCAATAAAGAAACTACTGGCTGTTTGTCCTCCTTGAGCCAGGTGTGCTCAGGACACAGTTGGCACTGCTAGAGTGGGGCGGGGGGCAGGAGACACAGATGAGGCTGGCTGCTGAAGAATCCAGGGGGTCTCCCCCTCCTGCTCCTTTCCCCACTGGTCTCCCAGAACACACAGAGAAATGAAGAGGGAGGAGCAACGAGAGGCAAGACAAGGAAGCCTTGCATCATCATCACCATCATCATAATAATTTATTATTCACACCCCACCCATCTGGCTGGGTTTCCCAGCCACTCTGGGCAGCTTCCAACAAAATATTAAAATACAATAGTCTGTTAAACATTAAAAGCTTCCCTAAACAGGGCTGCCTTCAGATGTCTTCTAAAAGTCTGGTAGTTGTTGTTCTCTTTGACATCTGGTGGGAGGGTGTTCCACAGGGCGGGTGCCACTACCGAGAAGGCCCTCTGCCTGGTTCCCTGTAACTTGGCTTCTCGCAGTGAGGGAACTGCCAGAAGGCTCTCGGCACTGGGCGGCTTCCACCGAATATTAAAAACAATACAGCATCAGACATTAAAAACTTCCCTAAACAGGGCCGCCTTCAGTTGTCTTTTAAAAGTAAAATAGTTGTTTATTGCCTTATAAGCTCTCCTTATATGAGAGTCTTCAAGTCAAGGAGCAAGATTTAGAAGGCCTCGTTCAAAGCATCTTGTCTCTTTCCTTAGGTCACTTTTCTAGGGCACCCTGAGGCTTATCTGAATGTGATCAAGGATTCCTCAGTAAATGGCAGACAAACTTCTCTGAAAGGCAGCTCCCCCCACCCAAAAATATGGCTCTTTCCCCTGTAACACACCTCCTGCAAGAGGGACTGTTTGATATAATCTCAAAACACGTTCTGAGTTCATGCAGGGCAACAATATGACCCCACAGGGCTGGCCTGCACCCCGAAATCGTCCCCCAATCAGGGGTATTCCCAGCAGATGCAGAAGGCAGAAAATTTGAAAATACTTGAGCAAGACCCAGCCTCTAAAGCTGAACCTTTTGTAGAACCATAGAATTGTAGAGTTGGAAGGGGCCCGAGGGTCATCTAGTCCAACCCCCTGCAATGCAAGGATCTCATCACACGGTCCCCCATCCAATTGGAAACCATACCAGACCCTGCTTAGCTCTGCAAATGCGCTAGCGGTTTTATCAGCAATGGAGAAAAGTACGGTGGGGAAAATGTGGACCTCCAGTGTTGCTGGATGTCAGCTCCCACCACCGCTGACCATTGCCCTTATGGCCGGGGCTGAGGGGCTGCTGTCCTGGATAATATGAGGTCCTGGCTACCCCCCCCCAGCCTCACCCCCACAGGGTTCTGAACTTCCTCGATTTCACAGCAGACGCGGGTGGCACTGTGGGTTAAACCACAGAGCCTAGGACTTGCCAATCAGAAGGTCGGCGGTTCGAATCCCCGCGGCGGGGTGAGCTCCCGTTGCTTGGTCCCTGCTCCTGCCAACCTACCAGTTCGAAAGCACATCAAGTGCAAGTAGATAAATAGGTACCGCTCCAGCGGGAAGTTAAACAGCGTTTCCGTGTGCTGCTCTGGTTCGCCAGAAGTGGCTTAGTTATGCTGGCCACATGACATGACCCGGAAGCTGTACGCCGGCTCCCTCAGCCAATAAAGCGAGATGAGCGTCGCAAGCCCAGAGTCGTCCACAACTGGACCTAATGATTGGGGGTCCCTTTACCTTTACCTAAGCCTCAAAAGGCACAGCCATTCCCCTTTAAGAACAAACATCCGGGGGGGGGGAAAGAACACAGCAGCGCCCATAATCACATTTGTACCAAGAGACACCTGTGCTAATTCTCCCATTAGTAATGGTTTGTGGTTCCTCGTTCAGATGGCAGGGTGGAATTCTTGGGAAATGCCAGGATAAATCCAAGCGGTTTTTGTTTACTTTCTGGCTTTGCCAACATGGGTGCCCTAGATAAACTAGTTGCTAATCTGCCTTTCCTGAGGAAGGTTCTAGAGTGAGTGGTCGCAGACCAGATCCAGGCGCTTTTGGAAGAAATTGATTTAACCTAGATCCATTTCAGTCAGAGTTCTGGCCTGGTTTTGGCACAGAAACCGCTTTGGTCGCCCTGTATGATGACCTCTGTCGAGAGAGACACAGACAAGGGAAACACGTCCCTGTTAATTCTCCTCGACCTCTCAGCAGCTTTTGATACCATCAACCATGGCATCCTTCTGGAGCAGCTATCTGAAACAGCCACGTGGGCACCAGGTTGCCGAAGGCTGCCCTAAATGAATGTAAGTGGAAAGAAGAAGCTGTTGCCTGTTAGGGAGTAAGGCGGGACTAGAGCAACACCCAACCGGCCAATGGGAAGGCAGCACTGCCTCGGCTTCTCTTACCACTGGGCATAAGCTCAATCACCAGTTTGGGGTAAGCGATGTTGGAGCAGCCCACCTCGGACCCACACACTCGGGAACATTCTTCGGGGTCGACACAGCCAACGGCATCTGAAACAGACACAAAGAACGAGTGGTTGGGGAGCAACCATTGACTTTCTGGGTGCCTGTGTTTGCTTGCTTGCTTGCTTGTGAAATAAAAAACAATTAAGGGCTTATATATATAATAAAAGGTAAAGGTAAAGGTACCCCTGCCCGTACGGGCCAGTCTTGCCAGACTCTGGGGTTGTGCACCCATCTCACTCAAGAGGCCGGGGGCCAGCGCTGTCCGGAGACACTTCCAGGTCACGTGGCCAGCGTGACATCGCTGCTCTGGCGAGCCAGAGCCGCACACGGAAACGCCGTTTACCTTCCCGCTAGAAAGCGGTCCCTATTTATCTACTTGCACCCGGGGGTGCTTTCGAACTGCTAGGTTGGCAGGCGCTGGGACCGAGCAACGGGAGCGCACCCCGCCGCGGGGATTCGAACCGCCAACCTTTCGATCGGCAAGCCCTAGGCGCTGAGGCTCTAACCCACAGCGCCACCCGCGTCCCACACAAATGTTCATAAATGTACCAGGCAAACACATACATAAATATATAAACCACATATCTGAAGCAGCACAGGAAAACAGCCCTGAAACCGTTTTGACACCCAACCTTCTCTGCAAGGTTGAAGGAAATGGAAAAGCCTCCCCATTGTCCTTTCCTTCACAAATCCTGTCTTAAGGGTATGCCTGTGTATGAATAGGGTTCTCCACTTGGGCAAGCCGAGTGGTGTGTGTGCAAAAGTGCATGCGCTAGAGGAAAGTGTGCATAGGGAAAATAACATACAAAAACACCTTGTATTAGGGAAAACGGTCTTGCCAAAAAGCCACTTTCGCCCTTCTAAGGAGGCGGAGTTGCGGGCTTCATAGCCCAGCCCTGCGCGATTGGGGGGATTCCCGACCGCGTCATCCCCTAGCCAGCCCATCGGCTGGCTCTGGAGGTGTAGCCTGTCCTATTTAAGGCAGGACTCAGCCAGGGATCTCCCTCTTTCCCCACCTGCCAGCTGTTCCTGCTTTTCCCACCCTCCCGCCCTTTAAGGTTTTCATTCCTGGACCTTGGTTGGTCGCCCTTGAGGGGCCTGGTAGGAATTTTTCCACTTGGCAAATTGGCACCAGCCACTTGGTTTTCGCCTACCTCGTAGCAAATTGTCACAACTTTCAGGGTATTGACGGTTAAGCATTGGTATAGTTCTGTAGATGGAAGAGGGGAGGAAGCGCCATCACCTGCCCCGCATATTGAAGGATAGTCTGCTAAAGGATTCCGGGGGGCGTGGCCCTGTCCGAAGCCTGGGGAGGTGAGGGCCTAAGGCACGCCCCCTATCGGTGACCCCAGGGGAGTTCCTAGTTGATGTGCATCAGCAGGGCTCCCCCTACTGGTGGTTAACCCTTCCCAGACTTCAAGCAGACAGGCTGAAGTCGGATATAGTCGGTTAGGACCAATGCCTAAGCCAATACCGCTCATCACCTGTAACCAATAAAGTTTTGGCCTTATTTATCCCATTAACCTTAATAATTGTGTCATGTGTCTTTATTTCCACTGGGGGGGGCAGGAAATCGCCACACAAATGCGTATATTAGGGCGAAATTCCATACGTGTGTATGTGTGTGTCAGAAAAAAATCACCCAAAAATGCTAATGAATTTTCATGAAAAAACAACCACTGAGGTGAAAATGTGGAGAGCGGAAAGGAAAAATGAGGAACGTGAGAGAAGCCAAAAATTCACCTGTCCTTCGAGCTGGGCTGGGAGGGCAGAGAGGTTTAAAGCCTCTTATTGACTCTGGCGCCACCTACTGATCTGCCCTACCAGCACCAGTGGGCACCAGCCACCACTGATGGTGATGTTATTAACAATGACTGTGATAGATAGATAGATACATAGATAGATAGATAGATAGATAGATAGATAGATAGATAGATAGATGGCATTCATGTCAATCCAGAGCTTCACAAGATTCTGGAAAGCTCATGGGTACCCACACAAGCAAGAGGGCTTCTTTGCTCTTTCCAACTCCAAAGAAATTTCACACACGGGTGTGCAAAGTGTAACCTCCACTCAGAGGCAGTGTATCTCTGAGTCCCAGTTGCTGGACACAAGCTGCATGGGAAAGCTGTTGCCTTCCAGCCCCGCTTAAGCATCTGACTGGCCACAGGTGCTTTCTAAGACTGACCTTTGACCCGAGCCAGAAGACAAAAGGTACTGCGGCAAGAGAAAGAAGGAAACCAGGCCCTGGATTCCCAGCGGTGATGCTGAGAAGCTGCCCTCTGAAACCTACTCGCGAGGAGAGTGAGCCCTAAAGCACACAGTGTGGGGCTTCCTTCCAAGATAAGAGTGGGAGCGAATCAAACAAGCTCCACCAGCTCTGCTCCACTGGGAAGGCAAATGCAGGAGCTGGAGGCATTTTTTTTGAAGGAAAAAACACACACACCACAAACAAAACGTCAAACTTAAAGTTCAGCCAGGCCAGGACTTCCCTCTCTCTCTCTCCCTCCTTCCCTCCCTCAGCCTGATAAGGAAATCTAGGGACACCGGCTTCTCATGGGTGAGTCAATTTCCGGCCTTCCACGCATGCAATAGATCCGGACAGAAGCAGCACGCATTTGCGATGCAGCCGAAGGAGTTAATGGACAGGTAGGAACAGGGACTCTCCGAAGGCGGGGAGACATGTGACGGCAGGTGGTGCAGGGAGGAGCAAATTACTCAAGCTGTTGCTTTTCTCTCTTTTTCTCTCTCCTCTGCTCCGCTCACACTCTCCAGGTTTCCATTTCTGGCTGAGACCTGCTGAGCTGCCAGGCTGCCGACCATCAAAAAATAAATAAATACACCCTCGAACGAAACCTACTCTCCCCTTCCACCTGAGAGAGTAATCTACGAGCTGGAAAGAATGAAAAGACTACCCCTTCTGAATCCTGTCCGGCAAAAAAGAAAAATTCCTGGTTCCAACTCCTGCTGTTTGTTTGATTCTGGGGAGCGTCTCACTTGCTCCCATTTATTTTCTTATGGAAATTTGGAAGGTCAAGGGCAGAGGTGAAGGAAGCCGGCTGTCCAAAGGCTAGAGAGGAAACATCAGCCAAGCCGGGATTTCAAAGCCGCCGGAACATTTAAGCATTTAAGCTTGAATGCCACTGCCCGCTGCTCCCCGCCTGTTTCTGAAAGTTCGGGGAAGGGAAGAAACTTGAGCAAACTTTTTTCGTCCTATCCAGGATTTTTTTTTTTTACTCCACTGAGATGAGCTGATGGGTAAGCTGAGAAACTGAATGCCAGTGTTTAAAGACAGTTAAGGGCCGAAGGACTCTTGGGTGGTGGTTGTTGTTTCTTTAAGTCGCAAAGGGAAACCGTTCACGAGGAATTGAGAAGAAGCTAGGAGGGGCCTTATTTGCTGCTAGTTTTTCCTTAAACTCAGGGATACACCTCACTAAATTATTTCATTAAATTATCCACCTTTTTTTATTTATTTTGGGCGGGCGTTCCCCTCCTCCTCGGACCAGGGATCATGGCTTTCTCTCAGGTCCAGTGCCTCGATGACAGTCATGTCAACTGGCGCTCCAGCGAATCCAAGCCGGAGTTCTTCTACAGCGAAGAGCAGAGGCTGGCGCTGGAAGCGCTGGCGTCGAAAGGGCCAGATGCCTTCTACGAGGTCCTCAAGAAGGAGAACATCAGGGACTTCCTTTCAGAGCTGGAGCTCAAGAAGATTTTGGATACGCTGGAGACCTACGACCCCGGCTCGGAGTTCATCCCCCGAGGGGATGATGGTGGGGTCGACCTCAGCAGTCAGAACGGCGAGCAAGAAGAAGTGCCTTCTTTGGAATACTGGCCGCAGAGGTCCGACCGGTCCATTCCACAGCTGGACCTCGGGTGGCCGGAGACCATCGCTTACCGTGGGGTGACCAGAGCTACTGTCTACATGCAGCCGCCTATTGACTGCCAGCCTCACATCAAGGAAGTCGTCCGCAAGATGATCTTCCAGGCTCAGAAGGTGAGAGTTGCCCTCTGGGTGCTGCCTTTGGGGGTGGGTGGTTAGAGCGCTCCCCTCTTGCCCAACCGAAACATCCCTTTTGTCTCCTCCAGAGGTTTGCCTAGAGAATGATGCACAGGCAATTCTGGTCTGTTCCAGAATGAGCTCATCCTGTCTGTACTTAGCGCCGGTGTTGGTGGCAGATAAGCTCTGCGGCACTGATCCAATCTGCCCGAGGAATGAGAGGGGGAGCAAGTCACTTGGGGCAGTTGCTGCTGGTTCAAAGTGACGGGGAAATGGGGACATAGCTGATCAGGAGTTCACTATGCCGGGGTTTTTTTTTCCCTCCTCTCGCATGTTGGTCAATGAGGCCACTGAAAGCTGTAAGCTCTTAATCTCAGGGTCGTGGGTTTGAGCCCCGCTTTGGGCAAAAGATTCCTACACCCTTGTGGTCCCATCCAACTCTACAGTTTTATGATTCTATGAAATGCAGTGGAGAGGTGGGATGGATGGCAGAGAGAAGACTCAGTCTTGCTTCTGGTACTTTGACCATCTGAGGAGCTCCCCAGAAAGTCATTTATGTAGCCTTTACCATTCTGCTCAGTGCTCAGCACTCTGGGGTACAAACCTTTCAGGAAAGGGGCAGCTTCTGATCTGTAAATGTGGTTCCCCAAAAGCAGATACACGTGGTTATTCGGTGGTGAAAGGCACTCTGTATGTCAAGCGTGTGCAAAGTCCAGCCCGGGGGCCTAATTTGGCCCCCACCAGTCAGTTTAATCCTAAAGTCCTTAATTGGGGGGGGGGAGCTTAACTTCTATCCTAAAAAAAGGTCAACAACTTTGGTCAGCCCTCACGCATGTCCCTCTTTGAGAAAAGTTTGGACACCCCTGCTGTATGTCATCGCTAGTACAGTGGTACCTCAGGCTACAGACGCTTCAGGTTACATACACTTCAGGTTACAGACTCTGCTAACCCAGAAATAGTACCTCAGGTTAAGAACTTTGCTTCAGGATGAGAACAGAAATCGTGCTCCAGCGGCGCGGCGGCAGCAGGAGACCCCATTAGCTAAAAT